GAAGCCGGCACAAGCTTTTCAAAGTAGTCCCTCTCCAACGGGCCAGTTTGGGGGAAAATTCAGCTACCAGTCCTTCATCAACTGGAGTGAATGTCACAAAATCTTGTCCACCCAAATACGCACTCAATCAATCCTTCTTCAGCTTCCGGTGAGGCCGATTTACAAATCTCTTCAAGCGAACTGAAAGTTTCTCTTCAGTCTGACGCATTGGTCGAGGCCATGGTTGTGCTGACCACCAACAGGCCGGTAGATCGGTCAACTTCCGGGCCAGCCGAACTCGTCGTCGTTAAGGGAGCGCTTCTTCAGTCTACCCAAACACCTCTCCGGCCTTGCAGCAAGCAGCGAAGCTTCTGCCCTCGGCATTTCGGACAGGATGATTTCGGCCCTCAGGCTCACCCCAACTCTGGTGTAGCCATTAAGCGTCCAACTTTCAGACTCCTCTATTATCACGTAATCGCTTGTCTTGTCAAGCCCCGTCCTGGAGGTCATCGCCAATGCACACTCACACAAACGTACACATATACCGGCACATACGCCAACATACAAATATGCCCAGTTCTGCAAGCACACCCACACACACACACACACACACACACAAATGCATCCATAGTGGTCTGTGCCAAATTCTACCTGAACACATCAGACAGACATTCATGTGTGCATCAAGACACACACGGTCCTATACTTTTCAGACTGGCGCACACCCTTCTTCATTTCCGCCCGGGGTCCCAAGTCTTTTCAGCTGTTCTCGTCCCCTCGTCTGCCCATCCCTCCCACCTTCGAGTCTCTCCTCGGGTCCTGAGTCCACTTGGGCCCAAAGATGTCTTCATGAAGTGTCATTTTGTTGGATTTCACACTGCATGCCTTCGGGATCACAGTGTGGCGCTCATTCAGCCTGTGTATACAAATCTCGCGTTCGGCTGGCGAGTTTATGTACCCGATTGTGTGCATCCGGAGGGCCAAGTCTTGCCTATCTGAGGCCGGGCGAGGGCTGTCTCGAGCCTCGGGGTTACATTCTTTGACCCGCTATCGCGACCTGTACGTGCCGCAGCCCGAGGTCTGGGGATTAGCCACCTGAGCACGTTTGGCAAGTTAGTTTTCGCTCTGAAAGTGGAATTGCATTTTCACTTATCGTTCCCCCCTCTCTCGCAACGCTGCAGCGACGGATCACTCTGATGATCGGATTTCAGGTACAGGCTTAGCATCAACATTTGTGTGAAGAGTCGGCGATGCGTAGACATGTCACAGACTATCTGCCTCACCGTAATGAGGAGTATCAGCGGATTAGTGTCTATACTCGTCTTAACAGTTGACATGTTTTCTCAACCCATATTCACGTTTCATATACACTCAGCACTTAGTTGCAGTGACCCATTCATCCTTTTCTACGTCTATTTTTTCAAACAGGAACCAGACTTTACGCCAACAGAATGAGTCTAACATATGATGCATGCTTACCTTACTCGATTAGGACTACTCATTTTAAACTACATTAGATTACTCACATGCAGTATAAGTAGTATCGACGACAGTGATGACAAATAAGTGTTTCGAGCCACGAGACTTGTACTAATAAATGCAACTTAAAAAAGGCCAGACTTGCCCTACAGCTCGGATAAGGAAGCCTTTTTGGAGGAAAGGATAAGCGAATTTGACTTATATCATTGCTGGCAACTTTCACTGTCAGTCCTTAGCTCTCATCAAGCGACAGAGAGACCAATATTTTATTCAAGAATTACCGATACATCCTTAGTTCATGTCTTCATGAATGGATATGACTAACTCGTTTAACAAACAGAAAAAAATCACTCTGTAAACTTTATTATATTATTTAGAAAGTCACCGACTGATCCAAGCAACGTCGCACACACACACACACACA